GGCTACTTACAGAAGCAATTTCAATATAGTTGAGTTACTACTGAAAGCTGGAGCTAGTACTGAGCTTCAAAAAGATGAGCGCTGCTGGACACCAATATTCTTTGCTGCTGCACAAAATGACGATCAGGTTAACATATTGAAGCTTTTCATCGAAAATGGAGCTGATATTACAAAAAAAGACAAGTTTGGTCAAACTGTTCTAGATATAGCAACTCAGTTGAGTAATACAAAAGCTGAAAAAGTTCTTTCTCAAGCACAAATAAAGCAAAAGGGAAAGGAGATGAAATCAAGCATTTATGTAACAGCTGAATCTGATGCTTTCTTAAATATTACATCATATATCAATACATTTTTGAAACAAAAACTTCCAAATGACTTCATTAAAACTATTGAGCATAACACAAAGTCATTTAAAGAGTTGCTGGGTCAAGTTTATTAAAATAATATTGCTGCTATTAGTAGCTATAGTAGTTTTAGTTACTTTTGCTATTTTTTTGATAGATTTCAGTTATTTTAAAATGATTTTAAAAAATAAATCCCAGTCAATTTATACCAGATGACAATTGAATGATAATAACTTAATGATAATTAAAGAATAACCTGATGAAAACTGTAATAGATTCTAACAAAATAAATTATTTTGATACACAGCATGGACACAGTTGCTCTTTTGTCTGAGTAGTGAAGAACAGAATTGATGCAGTGATTATGATGATGAATAAAAATGCTATCCCAATGTAATACTGAACCTCAATGTTTAGAAACAAAGCTGACACAAACCCGATGATAAAACCAACACCAAGCCCCATTCTCAGTGCACTGAAGGCAGCTTCCTGTTTATGAGGAAACAATGAACCAGTTAGACCTACAAATAGTAATATAAGTAATATTTTTATTATATTTGTGAATGTAAATGTGCTTGAAAATTGTACTATACGTGCATCAGAAAACATAACAGGAATAAAGAATTCTCTTTGCCATTTTTGACAAAATATCCTGTACTATAGCCCAATTTTTGAGGAACTTTAAAAATTTGTAAAAATTTCTAATATTCATTAGAATCAGCTCAAACTTGCTACAAAACAAAAGTACATGTATATGCATCAGGGAACATAATAAAATGGAGAATTCTCTCCTTTTATTTTTGATTAAATACACATGATGCATGACGACTGCTACCTAAACAATGTACAGTACATACACTCACTTGGAGGTACAGAGTTCCAGATTCCATCACACGTTCCCCATACAATCATTCCCAGAAAAACTGCCGGGAAACTGGGCACTCTCTCCCAAAATAAG